TGGTTTCCTGCAGCATGTTTGATAGTGCCTAATAGTTGTAAGGGCTGGATTACAGTTCAATATATAAGAAGCATTTTGTTTCCAGCCCTGTGAGAATCTTACTATCGGGTTTTGAAAGTAATTTTCAGAAGTAGCCTTCCTTAGCAGACATTTTCTGGGATGCAGTCAGTGTTCAACTTGCCAGGTGCCTGATGTGCAATGCAGTGATGTTACCAGGCTGATTACTTGGATGGCTCTAAAGTGAAGGCATCTGGTTAGGACTGTTGGCTGGTCAGAAGAAAAGGCACTAATTAAAGTATTTTTTGCCTTTTCAGGTTTGTCCCTCTGATTAACCACTTTAAAAATCACTCCAGGGAAAACCACACAGTTATCTTTAAAACAGAGAGGGATGATTAAATATTTCTCTGCTAACAAAAAAAAAAAAAAAAAAAAAGGAAAAGGAAAGCAATTGTCTCCAGCAAGGCTGACAGGTTACTGCTGTATTCAAACTAGCTCTTAACCCTTTCAGCCTGGCAGGGGAAAGCCTGAGTGATCTTATGGCAGCTTAAAAAGAAAAATCTCATCGCCACACACCATTTGACCAAATTTACTTGCTTTCCCAAGCTAAATTTGCTGTGAAAAATGTATCTATATCCATACATATAGACAGATATCTCTTGGCACCTTCTTTAAGACAATCCATACTCCCAAATTTAACATACACCAAAACTATAGCACTGATCAGTAAACTGTTACCATTGCCAGTTTCTGACATTTGAACCTTTCATCTTGTTTTCAGTGAAAACAATTCCAACATGTCAATGTACAAATCACCAGAGATCTTATTTTGTTCTTCCAAATTACACACATGATAACTAGGAGATACCTTAATGATCAGCATTTCCACTGGTTTTTTACCAAAGTCACAATGGGTTTGAAATCTTTTCCTCTCTTTCTTATTAACGAATGTCTGTGAGATCTTTACTCATAATATGTCCTTGCTTACTGCCAAAATTAAAGCCTTAATACCATAGGATCTGTGCTGAGGTCACAGTGTCACAGACTTGTTCTGTGACCTTTGGCAAAGTACTTAATCACAAGCCTTTATACAACTGTGGTTTCAGCAATATATTTTTAGGGTCCTACACGTTGCAAGAGAAACCTCCTTTATCAGTGAAAGTTTAACATAATTAGTGTCAGTTCAGCACTAATACAAAAATTTCAGGTAGTGCTTTCATTTCTTACATTTCATTTATATACTCTGGATGGTTTTCCAGGTGGTCTGCAGCAGTCTTCTAAAGGGCACATGTACACACAAAACTTGCACAGTGACCTCCATCGGTAATAAGGCCCCTTTTTTAAAATTAAATTATTTCTGGAAAAATATTCCTGTCTACTGCACGGAGTATTCTCAAGTCCACTAAGTCTGAAAGTAAAAGATGCTGTTAGGTTTTCTAGCTGTGTTAAAGAAGGACATAAAATGGCACATTTCAGCTTTTTAACCCCAGATAGGCCGTAAAGCTTCAAATGTTTAAGTTGTTTGCTTCAATTTCATAGCCTCTATAACCCTTAAGATTTTGGCAAGATTTCTGCAGACAGAAAGTCTTAAATAAGATGTATACACAAATTTCCCAGATTGGAATTAAAATAAAATTCTGTAACATAACTCTGGGAAAAGAAACCCTCAATGGTACACAGTGAAGCTGCCTCTCCAAGCCCACACCTAAATTTGCCTGTCCTTGTGACAAGACCTACAGGTATGCAGAGGAGTGTGGTGGTGATGTTTTCACCTTTTACTTAAAGCAATCCAAACCACCACCAACCCCTTTTATCTTCAGAGTTCGTGCTATTGGACAGCCGACTGCAGCAAGATAAAGAAGGGTCAGTTTTTCCAGATGGAATGTGGAAATTGCAAACAAATCTCCTCCCTGCTCATTATGTCTGTACATGGCACAGTCTTTATTGTTCCCTTGCTCTCAGTACAGCAGGCTTTTCCAAAGTTACAGCTACAGAAGTTCCTTTGGATCACCAGGAAATTTCCCTTCTTCTCTTCCCCTTTGAAACTCAGATTTGAGTGTTTCTACAATTCTTCTCCACATCCCCAGCTGTGCTGACAGTCCCAGTTCACTGTCTCCTTCCTGTCTAATTCCTCCCCTGGGAACTTCCCCAAATGAGCCTTTTCAGGTGCTTTCTGGTACTGACTTTGCCTTACCCCCCAAGAACACTCAGTCAGACTCAATATTCAGTGTCAGATAGGAAAATACCAGGGAACAGTCCTTCTCCTGCAGCATAGCCAAGTTCTTTTATCAGAAAAGCCAGGAAAAGGGTGGTGAAACACACACACAGAGAAGGCATCATCTCTGTCAGAGCTTGGAAACCGATGGTGTGGTTTTCAGGTTGCACAGAGGTAGTTCACCCAACAGAAGCCTTTACCAGTGGAGTCTATATTGCTACCAAAGAAATCCCTACAGCAGTGAGCAGATTGAATTGTGCATCTCACTAATACCAGACACTAGGGCTAGTTTGTACATTCGTAACTTTTCTGCTTAGTACAGAAGGAACAGTTTCTGCAAAATTAAATTGAATCTTACTTTTTGTGCACATTGCTGTTGTTTGTATGAAACTGGTCTGCACTGATCCGCTGTGGAAATGCTACACAAAAACCAGGAGAGAGATTGGGACGGAAAAGGTATACAGCTTAGATGGTCCCAAACACAGGTACATCCCTTTAAAATATGACTCTGATTTTGTGAGAATAAAGATTGACTTATTATTAGTTTCCTTGAACTCCTAATCTGAGATGTCTTAGAGAAGACCTGACAGAATCCAATCTTCACTGTATTTAAACATATTTTCTGAATCCTTATCTGAAACCAAATATGGTTTAGAGAGACTCATGTCTTGGTTTTTGTCAAAGATAACTGAGGGGTTACATAGGTCTAAACATAACTCTTCATATCAGCACTAAGACTCGAGGAAATTCTGAATTGCAGCACTTTATACTGAAGGGATCCCTAAATGATTCTTTTCTTCTCACAATCATTCAAGAACTTGAAAGTTCATGGAGTAGCCTCAAATCTCTCATTCCCATAAATTTAACAGAGGTCACAGCATGGCCAATTCAGCTGAAAAGTGTTATTACAGAAAAACTTGATGATACTTTTATGTTCAGTGATGTGAACATAATTCTCTGGGTCTTTTAGCTACATATAGCCCATCTTATCCACAGAGACACTTCAGCAGATATATACGGTACCATGAGCAAAGTTAAAAGTGATGAATACTCTGATTTATAACTTCTACTGATAACAAGATGGTAGAAAATCTTAAATGTATGGGTGTTATTATATACACTGTTTAACTTTGCTCAGCAGAGAAGGAATGGGAAAGAAAAAATATTTGTCACACCTGAACTGTGGGGACACTCCCTTGAATGACCCTTGTTGCCTGTAAAGAATTGAGCTGATCTCTCTAACCAATGGACAAAAAGATGAAAGATAGGGTTATCTCTGAGGGTGCTAAGTGTGGATGTGAATCAATAATCCTTCTTGGGTTTAAGGATCAGACACAGGGAGGAAAATGCATATATAGAAGAGCTTTTCTTCTTGACAGATTTAATCAGCTAAACAGATCTCAACCTGCTGAGTTGACATTGCACCTCCTATAGATCAACCACTGGATTGTAAATACATAGACAAAATAAAATAATTATTATAACTAATCTCATTAGGGATGAGGAGCTGGACAAACAAGCCAGATGCCCCTCCTTCTGTTTTAAAGCTGTGGTGACTGGCAAAACAGATTCAAACGAGAGTCCCTTGGTAACACCCCACTTAAAGCAGAGGCTCCTTCGTCCACTCCATCCACATCAGCAGGTCCTCAGCATTGGTCTCAGTGTGATCCAAGAGTTTAAGCACACAGCCTAGAAAAATTTTACTTTGTTAATCTCCATTAGAAAACTACTTTTTAAGCTGATTCTCAGTGAAGTCACTTAGTCAGACAAAATCACTGCACACTAAACAATCCTGTTAGGGAGGCTTATCCAAGCAAAGGGCGTTCAATCGCATTTTCATTAGTAGCACTACATGGTTATTGTCCTGAAAGACAGGGCTCTTAGACTTAATCTATGTGCTTAGAGTTGAATTTTCTCAAGAACTGAATGTCAATTTTCACTACTTTCTAGCATTACAAAATCAGTTTGCCTGTAGATCAATAAAACAAAGATTTGAGGACTGAAGTAGGTCCTGCCCAGTATCACAGCTCTGCCAGTGCTGAGAGCTCTCTGAATTTTTAAGAAGTTGTGAGTTATCTAATTCTAATGATGCACATTATTAATTAGAACCTTATTTAATGAGAAAGTCACTGGTTGTCATGAACAGCAGGTGATTTATCTACGAGAAAAAAAAAGAGTATTTTTAAACAGATAACTATATTTCTCTCTACTAAGTTCTGTACGGCTCAAGAAAATGGGAAAGATGCTTAACCTCATCTCTTTTAATTTCCACAGCAGTCTTCTGGAATAACAAGTCCTCCCATTAAATGAAGAGGAGAGTTTCTGCTTTCCTTGGCTTGTATCGCTCATTTCTTTCCTACCTGTGGGACAAAGCAAAGCCTAAGGCAGAGTTTACCACTGGCTTACTGAAATAAGTAGCTCTCAGACTTCTCCTTCAACCTTGATCCGAAGACAGCCACGGATCTGGGGAGTCTGAACTTGAGCCTTAATTTTTGAAAATAGGAAAGAAACTGTACCTTTCCCAAACAGTGCTTTTTAGTTTTTAGCTCATTCTCTGCCTTTTTTTCTTTCCCTTCTGGGAAGGTGACACCACATTTTGTATTATATTCCCATATATTTGCACTGATTTCTGTAGGGCTGACTTTAGTTAAAACCAGGGTATATTTTACTTCATTTTTCTCCATTTATCAGTGACAAAAAGTGTTTCTACCTGACAAGCAGTGTATTATAACATTAGTAATTAGTGGGTTTGTTTATTGTACAGCTTTGCACTAAAGACATTTCTTAGACCAGCCCTTGAAGACATCACCAAAAGATGTTTGCACTGTTGCCAGTGATATTGAGGCAAAGCTTCTGATATGCCACTTAAAAACTGGGGAAACCTGATATTGCTCTGAATCATTCACACAGGTAAAAATAAATTTTGATTCTATACACTGCTAAGGCTGAAATAAAAAATTAGGCAAAGACTATGAGTATATCCTGTGTAGAAGGAATCAGTCTAACAATGAGAAAAAGAGGAATCAATAAAACACAACTTACATGTGGCACTGATGTTTAGATTGGACTAATTCTCATAATTTGAGACTTTCACCACACTAGCCATGTATGCATTTACTGCTCTGATAATGCACAAGGTGAAGATATTAAGGGGAAGTCACATCCATAGTTCATGGCACCCTCAAGACTGAAGTTAGACAAATATAAACGTGCTCAGCCTTATATGACAGTAAGTATATTATGAGCTCTTGATCTTTTTCAAGCCAGATTAGGTCAGGGATGGCTTCAAATTGTTTCCATTGCATAATTCCTCATGGGTTCACTTATGATCCCCATCAAATAACAGCACCACCAGCAGTGCTCAAAGAAGCCAGAAACAAAAATTGCGCATGGTTGAGATAAAATTCCCATTAGTTTCAGATGAGTTAGGATTTTGCTGGGTTTGTGCTGCCTTTAATTAGCATTCAGACACAATGATAGTTTCTGTTAAGCGCATGCATGTCATGCCAGCAACACTTCATTATTGAGGCCTCCGTTCATTTTTCCCCTTGTTTGAGATGTATTAAGATGGACACTGCAATTAGTGCAGGGTGAGGATTTTTTTATACAGTCATCTCAAATGAATGTAACTACAGAAGAGTAGTTACAACAAAAGAGGTGGCACAGGCTCATGTCTAATGCACAGGAGACAGCGAGGAATGGTGTGTCGGTATGGAAATGCAATGCCATCCTGGCATTCACAGTCATGGGATGTCTGAGAATCCTGACCTAATGACAAGGTCTTCAACTCCCATCTCCACTCATCCCCACCCCTTTCCCAAGCATTTTTGGTCTGGAAAGCTATACCTAACTGGAGCCTACACACATTATGGGTGTGCATCCTTCAGACTAGTTCCAAGTGCCATCCTGGGCTGTCAGCCTGAGGAGTGGGTAGAGAACAACAAACACTTCAAAAAACACATGCCTTATGCAAATTAAAAACTAACCACACTTTTTCATGGCTTCTCAAAGAAAATAAAAAAATATATTTAAAGATTGACTGGACTCCCAACTTTTGGAAAAATTGTATCACTCTCTTATTCTAACTGTGATTTCCAAGGACACTAAAATACAAAAGATATTTGGACAGTCAAAGTATGATTAGAACAGGAAATACTTTTTTTTACCTAATTTAATTTGTCTTGATTTCAAAATAGTAAGATGTCTTGACCACAGTGCTACAGAAACTAACGCCTACTCAAACATGCTTTGGTTCTTATTGTCTTAAAACAGAAACCATGACCTACAGAAAACCCTGACATACAGAGAAAATAAATGCAGTCAGATTGAGATCACTGGAAAATTGAAGGAGGGAAAAAATTTTCACTTTTTTTTCTTATATATAATTCTTATATATAATTATAACAATTTTTTCTTAATTCCTTTATTTACATAGCATAAAGAAAAGTGACAATCAGCAATGCTTATTTTCAATACCATTCATTTAATAAGCTAAAGAATGGGTATAAATCTAGTGATCATAGTTGGTTAGCCCATTGCAAAATGCAGAAACTGATACAATACTATACCAGTAAAAATATTCTGAGACATAATTATCATAGACAAAACTTGAAATACAATCAGTAGCTACTTTTTTTTTAAAGAACAAATAAATTAGTTTGAGCTGTCCTACTAAAAATAGCTTCCTTCCATCAGTTAACTAGTGCATATAGAATTTTTATTCCCATTGAGTTTTTATGTCATCACATTGTAATGGTTTGCTGGTAATCCTTTGGCGTTAATCATGAATCCAAATTAAAATATTCATTTCTGCATTTATTTGCATTTACTGAAGTATTTTTTCTTTAATTTCATGTAAATTTCACAGCTCCTGCATTCATTTCTGAAGCCTCGTTAGCCAAAAATCAGCTTTAATATTCTCACACACGGTTGTATCAAATATGTAGAAGTGGGTTTGCAAGGGAGAAATCTCACAAAATATTACAACTAGGGAAACAGAGAAAATAAAGGAAAAATTCCAGCAGCTCAGTTTTATAGTGTTCAAGAATAGGCAGCTGCAGGGGAATAGCTTTCCCATTCTTAAGAAAGGAAGGGGAGTACAATTTATAACATCAGGTTTAGACCCTGTTTGAGAAGCCAAGTCTGGGGCCTCCTGAAAAGTGGAAATTGTATTCTCTGGTTTCTTATTACTCAAGGCTGCCTTTAGCATCACTGGCACAACTAAGGGCACTGGCTGGTTTCTGATCATTTGTCAGGCTGATACAAAAGATTTACCCTTTGTGATCAAACACCATTAAAACCACGTCTCATCCGTCACAGCTCTGAGCAAACATGCCATGGATTGACCTCACCAATCAACATCTGCTGTAACCTACTTGACCAGCACTTTTCATCATAAGATAGCCATCAAAATAATTCCTAACTTACAGTCTGAAGCTACAAAATGAATCACACAATATTTGCGTGCCCTGTGGTCCTTTTGGCCCAGGCATTATGGCGTACCAGGGTTTAATGATCTTAATAACCCCATATGGCTTGCTGAGAAATTAGATTTTCCCTTCAGTTGCAGAAGGCAATTTTCAATTATAGCAGATGGCAAAACAGTGAAGGTCTGAGAAGTCAAGAACTGACTAAGAAACCTCAGATTAGTACTTAGGCCTTATGTTGCTCAGCCTAATAATGCCAGTGGTTGAATATTTGCCCCAGATGAAAACAATCTTGAAGCAGAGCATGGCATTTGAGCAGAGCAGTCCCCCAATTACACTCGCTCTTCAGAGGGCCAGGTCCAACTGAGACATCCAGAAAGCCACAATTGCACATGGAAAAACAACCCTTGGTATATCACATACACAGCTCAGCAACAGTTAAGACTCAATTTTATTTGAAATTGGAGAGAGTCATGCTGGACTCCAGGACAATTGAAGATGGAGATCGTCCAAAACATTTTATAAGTAACTTTCTTGATGAGACTCTATATACCCTTAAAGTTGCTTTGTTTATTTTGTTTTTCCCCCCAAGCAGGATAAAATAAATCTGCACTGAGAGCATGGGACTTTCTGTCAGCACATGAGAAAATAACAGAGAACCTTTCTATTGGAAAGATGCATTTTGCTGCTCTACTAACCCTGCTTCTGTGGTCCTCATGGCACACAGGGTTTGGGAAATGACAGACATGTGGCTTCACCCAGTTGTTCATACAGATTCTGAATGTGGATCAAGCACTAGAAAATGCAGAAGAGGTTAATGTCACCTACCCAGCAGCTAGTGACAAAAAGGATTTGGGTTCGTATCTGCCTCTTTGTGACCACTCTCTGCCCAGCTGCAGTATGTCTGCTGGTGCCATAGGACTCCTCTAGAAATTGGCTCCCCAGTGAGGACACGAGTTTGCCCACCATTGGTGGAAAATCACACCTCTGCCCAAGGGGATAGCTCCCACAGCATAGGAAACCTGTGACTGGTGGTGAGAGGTGCATTGGGAAGTGCCATCTGGAAAGATATTTGTGTCCTGCCTCCTCCCGAAGCATCCCTGGACTTCAGTCCCTGCCGTCCTTCCCTTGATCTGGAAATCATGGATGTAAGGGTTGAGGAGAGAAAGAGGAACCAGACTTTGTGTCACATTTCTTCAATGTTATCTCTAAGTAGTGCCTGAAAAATATGTACATGATAATAAGGACTGCTGTACAGAGCTATTCAAAGTCTTTGGGGGTTAGCAAAGATTTTCCTGTGTCCTTGCAGACTGTGCTCCACAGCAGGACCCGCTGCCAATTCTCTCCCTCCCTCCCAGAAAGGCAACACATAGAGAATGCAATAAATCTGTAAAGCTTTTTCTGCTATGCCTTTTTATGTGTTCAGTGGAAGGCAGGGTTCTCTAATGCCTCTTGCACAATTCATAGGGAGACACATGAAGTAGAAAATAGCACCTCTGTTAAGTAGTACACGATTGCTTTAGTGATGAGTTAACAGAGGGAATCTCTTATGGAGGCACAGTGGGGGGAAAATCTGAAACAGCTAAAGGCTCACAGATTTACTTTAAATCCTCTGCATTTTTCCCAGTGACTTTTCAAACACTTACAAAAGGTTTAAAATAATTTACAATGATCAACCTTTATGTAGTATCTATCAGAAGAAAAGACATCTCAAAAGACATCTCGTATTGGTCAGCGTATTATAGACAGGACCAGACAGGACTCTTTAACCCTGATTTTTCAGAACTTTCAGGCTAAAAATTCAATATTCAGCTAATTCTTCATTCCCTAGCTTCCTTATTTGGCACCTTTAAAATAGGACTATATTAAAGTAACTTGAGAATGGAATTCTAGTGAAATATTAAATAATCAAAAATAAGTAATACAATGATGAGATGATACAGTGCAGTCAGTGGGCATTAAAATGGAGGCAGAATAAAAGCAGAGCTCAAGAAGTGCATAGATTTTTAGGATGAAATAGAAAAACAGGAAATGTAATAACTGATAGTTCTAATCTGTGGGAAGTCTGTAGTGCAATGTATACTTCGCTCTAAACTACTCTCCTAATCTTTTTACCTCTTCAGAAAAGGGAATAAAAAGAAAGAGAAGAATTAGCAGCACCAAATTACTTCAGCAATTGTGTTAGGCATATTACAATATACATAATAGATGAGATATTATTAATACAGAGTTATTCCATTGGGATGCTCTGGATAATATAAACCAGAAGTCTTCTTAAAAATAATTCCTTCTCGTGCAGCATTTCAAATATTTCTGTGTGCTTCAACTTTTTATTACCTTTTAAATGAGCATCATTTTCTCTGGATTCTGATGCTCAACTCTGAGTCATAAGTTATTTCCAGGTCATCATATCAGTGACATGGTTCCTATTTTAAGAGCTGAGATCTCCTCCATTGAGGTCGAAGGCTACATCCCCCTTGACTT